CTCACTGAGCTGGGGTCAGCCCCCCTGAGATCACTCCAGCAGCTCCCACAGCAGCTCTGTATCCCCTGGGGACACTGGGATGATCCCCAGGCTCGCTGTTCCTCAGCGTTCCCAACCCCTGGAGGATGCATGGACTCACTTCCCACCGATCACATCCATGGTGAACCTCAGGGCTTCCTGCACAGTTTCAGGCTGTCCCTGTGGAATTGAGAGTGGGAATTGCTGTCTGGAGCCTCTCAGGCAGCTCCTGCTGGAATGGAGAGGCAGCTTGGAGCCTCTTAAAGCCATCCCAATCCTGATTTTCCCAGTCTGGCAGCCCTGGGCCCAGCTCTGGAGTGGGAAACCCCCAATCCCTGCTCCCACCTGGAATGGGAACACACCTTTGCTAGCTTGATGGCTTCGTTGAGTTTATCTAGAGCACTCTGGAAGTAGATGACCTGTGGAGAGAACAGGAATTGGGACTGGAATGTGAGGAAATGTCCTTGATCTGCACAGGGACACATCCCAAGGGCCAGAGTTTCCCACATCTTCCAGGGCTTTCCTGAAGCACAGGACACTGGGGACACATCTATGTCCCCATGCTGTGGATACCCAACATGGCAACCTCTTCCCAGGACTCTGCCCCATTCCCAGGACCATGATGCAGAGGCTGGGAAATGGGATGAAATGGGATGTCCCAGTACTGCTTACCCTCTCCCCAAACTTCTGCTGCTCCTCTGCCTGTTTCCCCATGTGCAGCTGCAAGAAAACAGGGATCAGAGCGCTGTAACTCCAGGGAGATCTTGGAGAGGGGCAGGAAAACCTCAGGGAGAGGCTGGAGCTGCTCCAAAGCCACTGGGAATAGCCTGAGGTGGAGTGGGAGCAGAGCAGAGCCCCCGCCCCGGCCTCTCCCACTCACATGAGCCACAGCAGCAAAGTAGTAGATCTTCATCTGGACCAGCTTCTTCCAGTCCTTCTGGATCTTTCCCAGCAGTGAGGCTGTCTCCGAGTTTTCCAGTGCCCTGCAGGCCTCTTTGTAGTAATCCACCACCTGTGGGCAGGTACAAGAGTGTGGAGACTGCTGGGAATACTGATCCCAGGTGGAAGCAGAGCTGGAAGGAGTCATCACCAACAGTAGCCTAAGGACTTGGATCACCCAGAAAAGTGGTCACTGGGAAACTCAGGGATGTGTTTGGGGTCACAGTCAGGGGCTGGTGACATCACTAGGGACACCTGTCACCACTCCAGGTGGCTCCAAGCCCCATCCAACCGAGTCTGGGACACTTCCAGGGATGGGGTAGCCACAGCTTCTCTGGGAAATCCATTCCAGTCTCTCACCACCCTCAGAGCAAGAATTCCTTCACAATATCCCACCCAAATCTTCCTATGTGTTTGGGGTCACAGTCAGGGGCTGGTGACATCACTAGGGACACCTGTCACCACTCCAGGTGGCTCCAAGCCCCATCCAACCGAGTCTGGGACACTTCCAGGGATGGGGTAGCCACAGCTTCTCTGGGAAATCCATTCCAGTCTCTCACCACCCTCAGAGCAAGAATTCCTTCACAATATCCCACCCAAATCTTCCTCAGGGTAGGGTGAAGCCATTCCCTGTGTCTTGTCCCTTCAGGCCCTTGTCCAAAGTCCCTCCCTGCACTACCAAC